CTTCTTGTTCGTTGGAACGATCTGTTTTGGCCTCAAGGTTTTGGCGGGATTATAGATTTGATAGATATGATATAATATACATGTTCTAATCCAACACATTAATCCCATTTCATGTTTTGAAGATAAACATATTCAGCTAAAGAACATGTGCTCATTTTATGTGTATAGGATTTCAACATTGTCCTAAACATATTTAGGTAAAACATGTTACACAAAACGTTCAGGGCCTAAACACAATTTTTAGAGTGTATACAGTAAGGAAATTCTTTTTTGTACGAGTTTAAATATTGTATATGAATTTTTTTTTAGCAATTTAATGAAAAAGAAAGAGAGAAGAAGAAGAAGAAGAAGAAGAAAAAAAAAGTTTAAGTTTTTTCTCGGAAAGACAATAGAAGATTAAAATGTTATAAAGTAGTTTATTATACGTAATATGATCTAATATGAAACTAAAGCACGGTAAATTATCTAATCATTATGACAAAAAAAATAGGGGAAGACAGTTTTTAAGATAAAGTACAGAATAAGAATAAAATCTTTTTTGACTAATAATCACGTATTATCTTTCAACGTTGATAGAGGTTACAGAGAATAAAATCATAGACAAAAAAGCATTAAAAAGATCATTTATCACCATCAACGATACAGATACTTCACAGGCACTTGTTTCTATCCATGGGAAGCCCCACTATCAACGTATATTTACGTAAATATACGTGTTGATAGTGGGGCTTCCCATGGATAGAAACAAGTGCCTGTGAGATACTTGTATAAAAAAAATTAATGTCGAGTTATCTCTCTTTCTATGACTTTTCTCTTTTTCTGTATATGTATTTGATTTCTTTTCAGGGTAAAGTGTGACACACACTGTGATGTATTGAAACCAATGAGCTGGGGGAAAATATTCTCCCGGATAGCAAATTTGACAATGATAAAAGTAGAAATGGAGAAAAACCACCAAAATATCATGGAGGTGGTGGAAAGCACAATTGTGCGGTTAAAAACTGAAACCCCGAAAAGGGAACTTTTAAAGACAATACCAACCTTTAGCTTTCCTAAATAAAATATGTAGAAATTTGTATTTTATTATTGTTTTACACAAATAATATATTGCATAAATTTCAATGAGTCATTTGCTCATGCAACAAAATATCGTGAGTGGAAAAAAAAACCCAAAAAATTATAAATCACACTAACATTATACTCTAGTGACTACAAGCTTCTTTTTTGTTTCTTAAACAGAACCCGCAAATATTTATACTGTTTAGCATTTTAAGATGATTTATAAAACGTATTTAGGAGTGGTTTGTGCAGGTGTTAGGACATTTGTTTTGTTGTGGTTTTATCGTGTGCTTCTTGAAAAAAAATACATACGTTGAAAGTTGTGTGTGTTCCGTTATATGCATTTTTTATGATCCCAAAGCTGTGGTGTTGTGGATGTTCAGTAATCATCTTATATTTTATGACCCCAAAGTTGTTGGGGTGTTGGTGTTCAGTAACCATCCCATATTTTATAACACCAAAGTTGTAGGTATGTGAGTGTTCAGTAACCATCCCATATTTTATGATCCCAAAGTTGTTGGGGTGTTGGTGTTCAGTAACCATCCCATATTTTATAACACCAAAGTTGTAGGGTTGCGAGTGTTCAGTAACCATCCCATATTTTATGACCCCAAAGTTGGTGGGTTGTGGGTGTTCAGTAATCATCCCATATTTTATGACCCCAAAGTTGTGGGGGTGTGGATGTTCAGTAATCATCCCATATTTTATGACCCCAAAGTTGTGGGGGTTTTGGTTTTCAGTAACCATCCCATATTTTATGACCCCAAAGTTGTGGGTGTTCAGTAATCGTATACTACTAGCTTTCTTTTGATCCTGCAAAGCTTGTAATATTTTATACTTCTTCATCAAGTGAATTCCACTTTTCAAGAGAATGTGGGATAACATTATTTTTATAGACTGGTTCGACACTGGGGAGTTGAAAAATAACTATTATTTCGCACTGGACATAAGTATTGACATACAACAAACATCTGCAACAATGTAATATCTCCAGAATTAGTTTTTAAGAAGAAACAATATGTTTTTCTGTTGTCTATTCTGGAGCGAATCCTAACCTAATTCATTGTATATTTACATCTAGGTGTTCCCTACGTGAATGCATGACTTTGTCAAACACTTTGTTGAAGCCGACAAATCACGCAAATAGTATCCAAAATTTTCGTATTGATGTATATTAATCAATTAATTTTTTTATATACAAACATATTATTAAGTCTCCTTCTTTTTTTTCTTCAACTTGACATAAATGATTTGTGGTGTGAGAAAACTCGGACCGTCTTCAAAAAAGACAACTCGGACCGTCTATAAAGTCAACCGATCGGATCGTCTATAATGCCAACTCAGACAAGACTATGATTTAATGAGTGTCTTCGACTAAAAAAAACCTGTGTCTTAAGATAAGTCGGGCCGGGACGTCGATAATGCAAAGAATAAAGGGAGAGTAAATGAAGAAAAAGACAACTCGGACCGTCTATGAGGACGCGTCTATATAGACAGTTCAAGATCACAACTTTTAGACTCGGGACAGTTTGTATTGACATGCATCTGTCTAGTTTTGAAGATTGAATGCTACCTAGATTTATTTTTATTTCTGTTGTTTGAAACCTGTATGAGTAAATAACGTTTGCAATATGTTGGTAAATTCTGTTTTACCTGTTCTGTGTTGTAGTTTGTTGCATTGGTTACCATGGTTACAGCATACATCCTCTTATCGAGGTCTAACTGGGTTTCCCGCCAGGGTAATACTTTGCCAAACCTGATTATTGCACGCCACCTCATTTGCAAATGCAGCAATGTATAAAGAATACTTTTATGTGAGATATAACATTTTATCAGATAAATAGCTCAAACTCCATGTTTATACTTTGTTGGAATTGGCATAATATCAAACAATAAAACGCTCTACACTTGCACCACCAATAAAGACACGCATTCGGCTTATAAAATTATATACACCTGTTTTGGTTGCTCTAAATCATACATAGCAGCGTTCCTCGATTTGGCTTTAATTTTTTCTTTCTTAATTCGGAGGACTCACATTTTGGCTTTAACTTTTTGCTTTCTACATCCTTTCCGCACACCAACATTTGGCATTATTTTTTTCATTTTGAATTTCTAAACTTCCAGCACGGGTTACGGCAGTCCTCCTTTACCATTGCGTCCTACAGTGTTTTTTTGTTTGTTTTTTATTTAATATAAATTATCTAACTTTCAACATTATTATTTTTCTTTTTGATTTACTTTTGGCTTATTATTTTTCATTATTTATAACTTCAAACTATTTTTCTTTTGTTTATGTTTGGTTATTAAATTCTTATTTTGTGTTTTTAAAAATATTAATTATATATATTTATAACTTTGAACGTTGTTTTCAATTTAGACTTGTTTATATTTATAGATATTAATATACCAAAGCCCGGCAAAGGGCTGACCATGCAGACCTATTTAGTTATAGTCGGGTAGTTAAACATCCCTCCGTCAGGTCGATAGAACGCCGACCATGCAGACCTATCTGTGTTTAGGTATAGTTAGGTCGTTAAATTCCCTTAGTTCCGAAAAGACGCATAAAAAACATAAAAAGGAATGAAAAATATTGACTTTCAAGTACCGAAAACGTTTGTGGTAAATTATTTTTTATATAAATGTGTTATTTTCTAATTCTTGTTTACATTTTACTTTCGTTCAGTTGAAAGAATGTCCATGTTTTTGATAAGGGAGCAACCATTTGATTTTTAGGGGAGGGGGTGTTTGGATAAATTTGTTTTATTTTTAACCTTTTTTCAGCGAAATTATGATTAACCCTGTTTTTCCTCGCTTGCCCACACAATTTTTTTGTATTCCAAATCATCTTATTTTGCAGCCATTTTTTTTTATTCTGCCTTTTGATTTTGAAAAATCTCATCCGAAAATTGTTTCACCATAAATTCGGGTCCTGTCTGTTTATTTCAAATTTGATCTAAGACCACTCCCAAAAAAAATAAATGGTTGTTGCCTAAGGTTTATTCAAATATATATGATTTTTTAAGAAAGAGCATTTAAGCTTGTTTAATTTGTTATTCAGGCACCGATCATTTAATTTTGCGGGGGGGGGGGGGGGGGGGGGGTGCAGGGATTTTGATGCGGAACGGATTTTTTTAGGCCAAATTATGTTGAAATAAGAAAATTTTGTTATAAAAATTATCTAATGGGCAAAATGTGGCCCATTTTTTGTAAACTCAAGGTGCTGGCCAACTTGCCCCCCTCCCCTCCCCCCCCCCGAAAATTGAATGATCCGTGGTACATGAATATTATTTTAGAATTAAAATATTATTAGAACTATCGGACTGAAAAGCTGAAACCGGCGAAGGGAGACAACCACATTTATATTATGTCTTATAATTGTAATCCTATTAAGTTACTTGCGTTAACGTACGCAAGTTTCGTTTGAAACTTAAAATTCTCTAGTCCGAGTTGGCTTTCTAAGTTGACAGAATTTAGGTTAATAAAATTACAGATTAAGAATTCAGCAAATAGATAAATCAAGTTTTATAACAATTTCATAAAGATAAATAGTCCAAATCCTCATTTAATACTTTGACTAAGTTGTCATTATAAACGGTCCGAGTTGACTTGATAGTCGGTATTTGATTATTTGTTTTGAAATTTTGCGTTTTTCATTAGAAACTGTTCTTAAATCCCATAGGCATAAATTATTTATTGTTTACCGATTTACTCGCGTTTGATGATAACTTTACATTCGCTAATTAAATTAAAATTAAATCACATAAATTTAATTAAAAAAAATAGTATTGTCTCAATTAAAATTACACGTGTCATACCTTTTTGGGTTATATAATGTAAAATCTTGGGCATTAAAAATACAGTATGATTAAATAGTGCAAATGATTTAAAGTTGCTTTGTGCCTTACATTAAATCACCACGGTAAATTACAAGCCTCACCTGTCACGTGGCTCTATCCAAAACGAGATTTAGGAAGGAAGCGGACAAAGAGATCGATATTGCAGTGCGTGGTTGACGAATTTTAAAGAATCAACATGAGTTACGACAGGCGACCAACGGATACAGAGCGTATGTCATCTTTAAAAGTGGACAATTTATCATACAGAACAACACCAGACGATTTGAGAAGAGCATTTGACAAGTATGGGGACATTGGAGACATTTACATTCCACGTGACAGGTTCACGCGGAAAAGTAGGGGATTTGCCTTTGTAAGGTTCTATGACAAACGGGATGCCGAAGATGCAATGGATGCCATGGATATGCAAATGTTGGATGGCAGAGAACTTCGAGTGCAGATGGCAAGATACGCTAGACCACCAGATAGGAGTCGAGGAGGTGGTAGACGAGGCGGTTATGGCGGCGGTGGAGGAGGTGGCTATCATGGTGGTGGCGGTGGTGGACGAGATCGAGATAGAGATAGTTACAGAGACAGAGATAATTCCAGAAGATCACGCAGGTATAAAAAGAATATTTATAAATTTAAAGGACTCCATTCAGTTAGAATCCACCAAGGTGACTATGAAACAGTCAATTTCGGTTTTGAAATTTGCTTTGGACAGCTGCCAAATCTTAAATCCATAAAGAAATTACCAAGTCCGAGAGTAACACTCGTAGAAAGGAACCCATCAACAATCAAAACAAACTCAAAATCCGAAAACAAAAATTTATGTGGTCTAATATATTCATTATGATAAAAGACAATACTGTTGCAATGCCAATGCATCAGGGGTCGACTTAAGCTGGCCCAAAGCCAATAGAATTTCGATAGGGCCAGTTGAACATAAAGACTACTGGCCCCATTGGCCATTACATTTGACTATATTTTCACTTAGATTATAGTATTATTAGGGCAAATTTTATTTGAGTTGGGCCAGTAAATATACGCTCTAACTGGCCCTATTGCCAGTATTGGCCATACTTTTAAATTTTGTTAAGTCGACCTCTGTGCATGTCAATTTTATGAAAATGTAACTTCGGAAATATGGTTTTATAACTTATTGGCAAGTTCCTTGTATAACAACATGGCAGACTAATTATGTTCAAGGTAGATAACTCTTTAGGTAAGGCCAAAAAGTTATGTCTGTTTACAGCTACCTAACCGTCCCTACTTTTGAGCATCTATCTATGTCATTTTATTCCTGTCGTAGAGTGAAAAATAAACTGAACTCTGTCAAAAGTGAAGTTAAGAGTTGCCAACAAAATAAATCAATTGCCTGATACATCTTAATGTTCAAAATCATGAATATGACAGCTGTTTTAAGAAACTTGCGAATCATGAGCTGAAGTAAACACTTTGCTGCCATGTTTTTTGTATAACCAAGGGGAATAATCGAATCATTAAAAATACGGGTAAACTTGGCCCATTCACAACTGGGACCACGGTAAGAAGGACTGCTGAACTCAAAATCATGTCTGAAAAATAAGATGGAAATATCTTCCTACCTACCCTATTTTATTTAATGATGTAACCTTAAACAGACATGCATCTTTTTTTGGCCTTAATATCAAAGCACTGCAGTACTGTTGGCTTACTGAAGTTGAAATGCACTTTAATAGAGTAAAATTGACATGCATCTCGATATTATTCTAGTTAATTTTTTAGAATAATCGACTTTAAGAGGCCACATCAAATGTTTTCAGGTTTTGAGCTAGTTTTGAGTAGTTGCATGTACATGTATCTAGTTCTCTAGTAATGTCTAACAAAGTACATGTAGGTCAGCTACAAAAATGCACCTTCAGCTGAGATCTCCCATCTATGAGAATTTTTTGTTTTGTTTTATCATTTTTAAATATTAATTCACTATTAAAAGTTGCAATTTCTTAAAAAGAAATCCACATATTATTATCTAAACAAAATGTCTTTACACAATGCACTTAAAATTAAATAATACAATGAAGAACTGAAGTTAAATGAACTACATTACCTGTCAGAAGAGTAAATCTGGTAATAATAAAAGGATTAAAATTGATTTGGTAAACATTGATAATTTTACCACTAAAAGTACATGCGAGATAACATATCATGATTATGAAAACTATTTAAATTACGATTTTAAGACTGCTACAATGTATGGTAATTCTATCCGTCTAGAAAATAAATCACATAGGGAGATCTCATCATACATGCTTTGAATGTTTGAAAGTTGACACTTGTGCTACAGTGAGTATACATTGTAACAAAAAAATAAATTGAGATCAATGACATTTGTCATTTTAAGCTACATGTAGCTGCAGTTTTATACATGTACCTAATGTGCATACATGTATGTTGGAGTCAGTTTCGTTATAAATTGTGTTTCTTTTTACAAAATAACATTTAAAATCATGTATATGATCTCTGAATAAATTGTACTTTAATTACTTTTAAAGAGCTTTTTTCTGTAAAAGATTAAAGTACAAGTACAATGTACAGTTTTGTAAATGGTAAATCACTTTTCAATATGGAAATATTTTAAGCAATTGCAGGTGCCTCATGTAGGCTATTGCAGACATTTAAGAGTTTATTTTATGTTGATGGACTTTGTACATTTGGTATTTATAAATTATTTAAAAAAATGTGATAAAAATTTTCAAATAACTCAATGAAACTGTCATTTTCTTTTGACTAGTTGAAATCAGTTCTGTACATGTGAGCAGAAATTGTTCTCAGTCTCAAAATGCTGCATTAAAGTGTAACCTGTCCTGAATCAGCAGGCAGTCAGTCAGTTTGCGGTCCTGTTAAACATAGACCTAGCAGGCAGGCAGTCAGTCTCCAGTCCTGTTAAACTTAAGACCTGGCAGGCAGTTGTATTCAGTTTTAAAAAGTTAGCTGTCCTGTAATCAGTCCTGAATCAGCAGGCAGTCAGTTTGCCGTCCTGTTAAACATAGACCTAGCAGGCAGGCAGTTGTATTCAGTTTTAAAAAGTTAGCTGTCCTGAATCCTGTTAAAAGTTTCAACCTGTTCTAATCCTGTTAAAGCAATCAGTCACATGTGTCCTGCATTTATAATTTGAGTAGCAGTGTTTGCTTGTAAATGAGGACTAAAAAGCAGCAGTTTTTACAAGGTTGAGGCAGTGAAAGAGTTGTTAGCTTACTGTACTGTTTCAAATTAACTGCTTTAGTGTGAATATAGGTAAGTTGTGAACAAAAGTTCAACTAATATTGAGAGAGAACCCCAATGTTGTGGTATACATTCACGTATGTACAAAATGTGGAGTATTTAAACTAAAATTGTTTTTACCTAGCTGAAATTTTAAAAAAATTGAAAACCTCTCAAGTTAATCATATTTAGGGGTTTCCCTACAGGGTTTGTGTGCAGTTCAGGCACCATGCATCAATTATGACATATAAAAAAATTAAAATATATTATTCTAAGCATCAATCCTTTACCATTTCCCCAATCCTTATAAAAATTTAAAAACAAACAAAGAGGTCCTCTTCAAAGCATCAGTAATTGCATTATTGTTCAAATGTATTCTACTTGAAGAGTCAGTGGACAGTTGTTTAGAAAACTCCAAGGGTTTCTTTAACTGACGTTATGAGTGTACTTAATATTTTTATAGGACCCAAAAATAAAACCTATACATACATGTACTTGGGGGATCACATTTATAATTTTTTTTTAAAACAAGACATTTACACGATATGGCTTGTAATTAAAATCATCAATAATTTATTACATATTAATTATTGATGTACAATGTTTAAAAAAAATATTGAATACTACACTATAAGTCTACATTTTTTTATTAAAACATTGCGCAAAAATGGCATATTTTGGAAAACCAGTAACGCAATGCAAGCATTAAAATAACTTCAAACTAAAATGCACTCTCTGATGATTTGTCGCTGGGGTTGTCCATTTCATACATATATTCAAGTCCAAACTCAAAATGTGAAATAAGATTGTTGATGATTAAGCATTGTACCATAATACACATTGATTTTTTTTTCAGAGAAAATTCTGCTTGGTAAAGAGAATTTGTATATGCAGCATGGGAAAAAATTCCAAAGTAAACTTTCAAATTTTAAACATCAATTTGACCTTTTAAATTTAAAAGCTTTATGAAGTTTTGGAAAATTACGTAAACTAAACATACTCTTTATTATTATTACAGATCTAGGTCAAGATCCAGATCACGTTCAAGAAGTCGTTCAAGGGGGCGTTATTCCAAATCTAGGAGTCGATCAGAAAGCCGTAGTCGTAGCAGAAGTCGCAGCAGGAGCAACAAAAGCATCTCTAAATCAAAGTCAAGATCAAGATCTCCGGAGTAAAATACCAAACTGGAATAGTGTATTTGAGTCATTGTTGAACATCTCAAATAATTTGTTGACACCTAAAAGCTTTATCAGCTTGTTTGATTTTATATGTTACTCAGAATAATGAATAGTCAGTAGAGTATATATGTTGACATTTTAAGATATCATGAACTTATCACTTAACATAATTCAGTGCTGAAAAAAACTGATGTGATTAATTCATTAAAAGTTGAAAACAACAAACTTTAAAATGTATCAATTTTAAATCGGTGTCATAAAAATATATTTAAAAAAAAAACACTTCACATCTGTCATTCATTTTTAAATGTACATTTCATTTTTAAACAACTTTCATAATCATATTGTGTATGTGCATTGTTTGTATTAATGTTACATTGTATATTGTTATAATACATTTATAAAGTGGAAAGTCTTTTACTAACTGCCTTAGTGGTCTTGCATGTATAGTAGCATTCTCATCATGAGAGCCAGGGGTCATGAGTTACATCCTTGAACAGGTCAAACCAAAGACTTGAAATTTGTATTTGCTGCTTCTCTGCGCAGAATGCAACATTTAGGAGTAAGAGCAAAGATGGTTCAACTTGTGATTCTGAATGATGTGTCCAGTGTAGGGTCTTCCATGTGGACTAGAACGTTAAAAATGCAGCTTGGAACAAAGTCAAGTTTATATATATATTTATATCACATTGACATGTTCTCATCTTGAATGAGCATTTTAATTTGTCACTGAATGTTAAATATTCGTTTGTATTATTCACAAATAATATGTACTATCACAGTGCAACTGAAGATTTGACAACCGATGGTAACCTGTTTCTGCACTGTTCACCACTAGCTCCCTTGATAATATTATTGGTTGGCAACATTACATCAACAAGTTGCTATAAGTTTGTTTTAAGGGCAGTTTATGTTGAAGCTCTAATGTCAAGTCGAAGATGTTTGGTAAGCAGTTGAAGTAGCATAGGCACATCTCATTTCAATGGAGATTATTTGGCCCCTCCGTCTTGGTATTTGAAACTTTTCTTATCAAATGCTGAATATAATCAAGTCATTTTGAGAGGAACCTAGAGATTTGTAGTTTCAGCATTAGCACAGCTCGTATCCGTGGAGTGTAATTGTCCCTTTCTTTTAGATTGAAATTTTTGCATAGTGAATGTTAAATTTTGTAATTATGTCAGTTTGATATTTGGTATACAGTTGTATTAGTATATGTATCTCATTTACCTGCAGATTATTTATTTGTCACCCACCCTTCAGTCCTGGTTAATTGACTGAAAGTATTGCATGTTAATTTGTGTTTAGGCCAGCATGGCGTCACTGATATTTGGAATACAGTTGTATTGTACTCATTTTCGCAGAGATAATTTGGCCCTGAGCCTTCAGTCGTGGTTCATTGACTTTGGTACTTTTACATAACGGAAGTATTGTCATTTTAACATCAACACTTGCATTTTACTATCAAAATCGCATACCGGTGAGACATAACTTGGTGTTGACAGTTTATTTCTTAAACATTTACTTACTATTTAGTATACCCCAATATTAGTAGGTGTGGTACATAGCATTCACATTGTCTGTCGCCCAAAAAATATCTCCGAATGATTTTCTCAATAACTACTGACGAATAAATTGGTCAACAGCTTGGTATATATGAGTTGTAACGTTTGATGTCCAATCCTACTGTTGTACACATACTTCTTCTTTTCCGATGAATTGCGAGTTTTGCTAGGGACATCGCGTATATTGTTTTTATACATCAATTTTCTTTTTCGATTACCCAAAATATCCTGTAAATTAACCAACAGAAAAAGAAGTAACTAAACATATTTTTTTCGTTTCGACTCTTACATTGATTGATGTTTGCTTTACATCAATGGAAACAATTTTCAAGACAAGAAAAAAATAATCATATTCAATAGTATAGGTTCTGTAGGGTTTGTCGACCAGTATATGAGCACGAATTTCGACTGCAACTGAAAAAGGAAGCATGTTAGCCCTGTAACCCCTGACAGATGTATTCAAGGGTTCTGTCACGTGTAGTGAGGATTGCACTCTATATATTTTTGGATAGGGTCTGGTATAACGCCCACCCCTTCAAACTTGCGGACTTTTATCATGAAAAATAGTATATTCTAGATCATGTAATACATTTGAATTAAGGGAGCTACCATTTGATTTTTATGGGGGGGGGGGGGGGGGCTAGGATGAAATTTTAAAAAAATAGGCAGGACAGGAGTTTTGAGTAAAAAAAAAGGCAGTATGAGACACTTTGCAAAAAAAAAAGGCAGGATGACAATTTATGTAAAAAAAAAGGCAGGACAGAGATTACAAATAAAAAAAAAATGCAGGACAAAATTTTTCATCCTAGCCCCCCATAAATATCAAATGGTAGCTCCCTAAACAATTGATTAAAATTTCATTCTCGGTATTCCAAATAAAACAGTGACTGACCAAAACAAAACTAACTGACACAAGCTTATGTCTTGTAACGTAATAATGTTGCGAGATGCATATATAGGTGGATATAATATAACTGGTTGAACTATGAAGTCTGTCGTGATCTGTCATATGAATCGAGGAACTTGTCAGTAGAAGGGTAAAACTGTTGGTTCCCTTGGGAATGACAAGCGTATGGTGAAAACCACATCTATTATACGTAGACAATAATCAAGCATCATGTCAGTGTCACAGCTCTGACCTCTTGTTTGAATCACTTTTGTTGCAAGGTTTACATTGTCCGTTTCTAAAACAAGAAATCTGCCTTGGTCTATTCAGGAAATATGATTGATCATTAGTTTTTAAGTAATATGAGGAATGCTCGCCTAAGTGATATTATGTCGTAACTACAATACCCTTCCCTTTTCACGAATGTGACCTACCGAATTAGACTATTTACCGAATTTGTAATAACATAAGCAACACGACGGGTGCCACATGTGGAGCAGGATCTGCTTACCCTTCCGGAGCACCTGATATCACCCCCAGTTTTTGGTGGGGTTCGTGTTGCCTAGTCTTTAGTTTTCTATGTTGTGTCATTTGTACTATTATTTGTCTGTTTGTCTTTTTATTTTTGGCCATGGCGTTGTCAGTTTGTTTTCGATCTATGAGTTTGACTGTCCCTCTGGTATCTTTCGTCCCTCTTTGATAGAGAAGTCAAATGTTTTGAATCATCTTCACTTTCAACTCTATACTTTTGAATACACGTTACATATTTTATCTGTCTTTATCTTCTCTATTTTTATTGATTAAAAAAAATTGGTGAGGCAGTCGTCTCATTGCCCCAATGGAAAGCTACGCCTCTGCTTGCAATCAGGATTTGTATGTCTGGTCTTGAATAGAAATAAGAAGATGTGGTATGAGTGCCAATGAGACAACTCTCCATCCAAGTCGCAATGTGTAAAAGTAAACAATTATAGGTCAAAGTACGGCCTTCAACACGGATCCTTGGCTCACACCGAACAGCAAGCTATAAAGGGCCCCAAAATGACTAGTGTAAAACAATTCAAACAGGAAAACCAACGGTCTAATCTATTTAAAAACATGTTTTGCAATCTTTTCACACCATTGCCAGAAATAGTAATATCTTTAAGTCAAATAACCTGATGCCCTTTATATTTTGTTAACATAGATTAAGCATGCTGATCAAGTAAAATACTAAGAAAAATTGGCAGTAGGAAGTTAGTCAGATAAATGAAATACCGAGAAAAACCAACCAAGAATCACAAAACAAAGAATCAGAGACAAATATACTACACATGTCTGTGAATGGATGAACTGTTCAAAGAAAGGAGGAAGCATCAATAGCAAGATATTGCACAGAAGAGATAAAGCTACACATCAGATTTTATTGGTTAAAGATCTTACCCCAACTAGCATTAAAAAGAATGTGTCTACAACAAATTTAGTCTTTCAACCAATTGGATTACACATTTTATTTCAATTCTGTGAAAGTCGAAGCAGTAGGAAATCTAGTGTCAAAATAACCCCCCCCCCCCCCCCCCCCTGTAAACACTGAAAACTTTTTGAGTAAGGATACTATACACTATAAATTCATAAAAAACGTTCTGGTAATTCATGATAATAAAATTGAATTGAAAAAAAAACCCAAACTATCCATAGAATTTAATTCCCCCCCTCATAAAATGGCAAACGACGAGTACAGCAGGCCGAGTATATGACTTGACCTAATCCACTTCGTCCCATGGGGGACATAGCGCGACCATAGTGGCTTTCCATCTTTTCTTATAAGCTATACGAGTTTTATTTAAAATGTTTGCTAGGGAGCTTTGTGTAAAATTGGTTTAAAATGTGGCTAGGAATAAGAATATTTATTGTTCCAACTAGACATCATTGAGATGGGAGCCATCTCTGTGGGCCCCGCCGTAAATAACGTGTGGTAGGTCATGGGGTTGTCAACTGAAACCAAAGTTTTTGACCTTTGACCTAGGAAGTTGTACATACATTATGACACACCCTCTGGTGTTGGTTAATATACATGCCAAGTATAAACTTTGAAATCTTAACGGTTCTCAAGATATAGAGCGGACACGATCTTTACCATTGGACATGTGGTTGTCAATTGAAACCAAAGTTTTTGACCTTGAACTTTGACCTAGGAAGTTGTACACACATTATGACACACCCTCTGGTGTTGGTTAATATACATGTCAAGTATAAAGTATGAAATTATAACGGTTCTCTAGATATAGAGCGGACACAATTTGTTACGGACGGACGGACAGACTGATCACTATAGGGCGACCCGCCACTAAGCGGGACCCTAATTAAGGGCCCTCAGTCAGGATTCTACTACGTCAACATTATCTTCCAATCACGCCAACTAATTTTTATAATCGTAAAAATGGAACCCATTGTTGTGATGACGCGATCATTTTATCCACATAGCATCATTACGATCCTTTTATGCCAGTTGTATTATGTATCTACTAACTATTGAGCATCATATAATGTACTTTTATGCATTTAGTCAACTTAAAACTTTGGTCAGATCGGTTGTCAGGGGAGTTTTCGAAAGTTCAAAAATATTTGAAAACATTCTAAATAAACATTTCGTGGAAGGGCAGACTAAAAATTTTCAGAGGTTGACGAATAATTACCCTAGATAACACACACAATCATTAATTTTTTTTTAAAGTAATGCATTTTTAAGATCCACTTGTAAAGCCTGTCGTCAAGTACTTTGAGTAAAACATTGTTATTCGAAAACACCTACTCTGTTGTCATATGACTCATTAGAAACTTAAGGTATTTCACTTGACCCATATATTTCAATTTTTAGTACTGTAAAATGTTATCATTTCAACCTATAGCCTAAATATATTATAAAAATAGAATCTGAAGCGAGAAGATGTATCAAATATTTTTCTTTAATACGTTTTTAAGACTGAATAGTCAATTCAAACACGCCTGAACATAAAAAGGTGTACTCGACTTTCTCTTTTCGATGAAATTATTGCCCATTTTTGGGATTCCCCCGCCCCCCCCCCCCCCCCAACCCCCCCAAAAAAAAATTGTCGCCGGGGGCATAGATGCAAATTAATGCTTTAAAAAGATCAATTAATTATCTTTCTTTGGATTTTTTTCGGCGGAATTTATGCTTATGCACAAAAAAGATCCACATGAATTTGCACTTCATGAAAAAACTTCAAAAATAGGAATTTAGTAACACGAGCCACAACGAGTAACAATTTCAAGCAAATGCATCGGTAGGGTAAGCAGTTTCTGCTCCACCAGTAGAACACATCGTTTATCTCAAGGTTATAATTAAGCCAGTTAATGAGAATATAGTCGGTGATGCCATATTTGGTAAAGAAGATGGGGTTGTGACTACGGGATTTTAAACATACTTGACCATACCAAGTCACGATGGCGTAAGTAAAACAAGTGACAAAATAAACTTTATCATTGAGAACCTGCAAGTTGGTTCAGTAGCTACTTTGGTCGCATCAATCTTTATCACGATAACCACTATAAGAAACACAACTTATGGGATTTCGTTTAAATTATACCCCATATTCAGGTTCTGATCGAATGTTTCAAAATATAAACGGAAGGATTACAATGAGAAAATTGAAATCTCCTCCTTTGTCGGAAGGTTTAGTTCTCGACGGGTTTGTCAATTTCTAGGTGCAAGTCAAGATATGCGTACCCAACTGTTTATGTGGTTTATTTTATTTCAAGTTCAAATGAATAGATATACTCAACATAGTCACCAAACCCTAGTTATTCCGTGAGATACCAGTATATACATAGGGGAGCGTGAGGGATAATGCTAGCTTCTTTTCCATTCTTATCTAGAAGCATCTGTATGATATCTGCATTATACGATTTAGAGAATCAGTCGGTGAAAAAAAGGAACACGGTTGTTCCAAAAGGAATGACAACTTTTTGATGAATAACACATCAACCAAACGTAACACATATATTGTCAATAAATACTAGCATCTTATGATGCCACTTTTACAGAACTTTTTGTTTGATATGTATATATAAAGTAACTTTTCCTTGTTAAAACTATTTATCTCCGGCTTAGTAGATTCATCGGATTTTGATTGGCCAATGGTCGTCGTTAAAAAAACCCATAGCCCCGGGTGTTGCTTACTCATATATCCGGGCGTTGCTATCCATTACCCCGGGGAACTTCACGCGCGTCCCTACGCTGACTGGGACCATATTGGAAAAGGCAAAGCGTTGACATTCTTGACAAAAGGTATAAAACATTGATTCATCAACCAAAAAGACAAACAAAAGGTCTGGTTAATAGTTGTCTCATTGGCAATCATATCACAATTCCTTATTTTTAAAACCATACAAGACTGTGTGGCCTTTTTTATTTGCCTTCGTGGAATCTAAATGAAAGTTTAACAAACAAAAGTATTAAATCAAAGTAAAATTAATTAAACAAAAATGAATTTGAGCCATACAAGGTTTTAATCATGGGTAATGTTTTATTTGATAGGTTCAAAAGTAATGGAAGATACAAATGGGGAAAAATAAGTTCATAAGTCGAAGAGAATTTGACAACACCAGGACAAAATTATAATCGAAAACGAAGAACAGAGAAAACAACAGTCCTGCGTTAAGTCTCATTCGATGATGTCACAAGCGAGGAAAAACGGACGGGATCGATGCATAAACTGTATCTGTGGTACAATTATTTCAAGATTGATGGTTTAGATGAGTTCAACAAAGTCACCATTTTTTAAAGTCGTCTATGATGCGGAACATGAAATTAAAGGATAATAGGAAGCTCCTGTATAAAGTCTGACTTATATAACTAAAGGAACAAGTTGGCAAGAAGAGGAACACAGTTGGTTTTCATAGGAATGCCATATTTTCAACAAAGTTCTCAATTATTTTAGACTGTAGACACGGGACAAACATATTTAGAATATGCTTGAGCAAACATTTTATGATATTAAATGAAATGTGACATGTTATCATGTTCAAAAGGGAAACGTAAGAAGCGATAAAAATATTTTTTATTATAATATTATGTAAATTAGTATAATTGGAGCTATGATTATAGAGAAACCATTTACACTACAACGTATTTAGGGATTCAACTTCAACTGCACGAAAGGAGTATTCTTCTGGAGCCAACGTAATGCCTAGCTTTCCCTTTGTAGAAGGCAAATGATTTGGATCTGATGGCAGAAGTTTGAATCTTTGCACAAGTGAAGTTGTAAACAGGAAAAACTCCATTCTGGCTAATGACTCGCCAGGACATACTCTTCGTCCTGAAAAATAAAATAAAAGCAAAGTACAATTAGATACATTTTTAAAAGAAGTTACAAAACATTCCTCGTTTGATGAGGGTGTAGAAGGTTATAATCTGACGATTCATTTTAAAATAAGATCACTTTGATTTCTAATATAACTTGGAAATATATAAATAGATATAAGAAGATGTGGTATGAGTGCCAATGAGACAACTTTCCATCCAAGTTACAATTTATAAAAGTAAACCATTATAGGTCAAGGTACGGCCTTCAACACGGAGCATTGGCTCACACCGAACAGCAAGCTATAATGGGCCCCAAAAAATTACTAGTGTAAAACCATTCAAACGGAAAAACCAACGGTCTAATCTATATAAAAACGAAAATTACGTATGAACTACATAAACAGACGACAACTACTGTAATCAGATTCCTGACTTAGGATAGGTGCAAACATTTGCAGCGGGATTACACGTTTTAATGGTACCAAAACCTTCTCCCTTTTCTGAAACAATAGTATAACATCACAACATAGAAAAACACACTATAAAATATCAATTGGAAGGCTTAACTCAATCAAAAAACGTAAATTAACACACAATGAACGAATAAATTTGACCTGTGACACCTGAATGCAAATTCACAGTTAATAAAAAAATTACAAGGGATAAATAATTAAAGTCAAAAGTTAATAAACAAAGTAAAAGTATGATATCATTGTGAAATAACAAACAATTTTTAGAAAATCATCACTTTTGAAGAAAACTGCGTCATATTATACACAGGTAAATGAAAATAATTTTGTTGTTAAGTATACTTCTTCTTCTGTGTGTATAAAATCTTCCGTTTAGGAATACCAAGAAATTTCTTTAATATCAATAAAACTAATCTAACACTTGGTACATATGGGGTGAATATCAACAATAAAACTATACAATTAGTGCTAGATAAAACTTCCTGTACAAGAACAGCATCTAAGGAAAAATGAAATAATTTTGATGTACATAGTACGAAGAAGTGAAAATTTGTAGTAAATTAAATACCAAATTATAAAAGCTGGTATATAGACAAGATCCATGTTAACATTAAATAACAAAAAAGCATTACAAATAGTATCAACAGGTCAAATTAAAAAGAAAGTACGATTTGAGAGTACTCGCAGTTATTGACAGCTAGTTAAAAGCCAAAACAATAAATAATAAAAAATCATGCATTAGAGACTAAAATCAACCAAAATACATCCCAGGGATTTAGTATTTTAACGTCATGAACAGTCAAAGAAGACATGACTTGTGCAATGCCAAAAATAAATGTATCGACAGGTAGTAGGATAGTTAGGAGTGACTTCTTTATAGATAAAAATGAACGTGTGTGTGTCTCTATACATCCCGTTTGAAAAGAAAATACAAATTTAGTTATGTTTTTAATTTGCTAATGACAAAATCGATATTAGTGCCAATGTAAACTATATTCAGAGATCTAATTACAACATTGGTACGATAACCCTTACTAATAAGTTTGTTAAAAGGTTCGATGAGTTTACACGGATCACATAATGATTTCCGCGCTTTAAGTACAATATTACCATAAAATTTAGGATGTGAAATACCGTTTTTAATCAGTTTTCTACAGGTACAGCCAAATTTACTAATCAAATCTTTGTATCTATGAAAGAATTTAGTAAAAGTTTTAAGTAATTTATGGTAACGAAATCCCTGACTTAATAATTTACCAGTGATGCATTGATTACGTTGCATGTTTACGTGGCTTCAATTTTGTTAAAGTCTTTAGATACTTGTCTTTAAATTTTCAAAAAACATTTCACACTCTTTACTTTTTATTATATTAGTACATATAACTTATGTTTCAGATATCAGTGTGCATTATTGTTGTTGTCGTAATAATTATTATCAGGTAAGCATCAGAGAAAACAAGTGAAATCAACAGTATGAAGCGTTTCGGTATCATAAAAGACATCTGAGATCACCACCGGATTTTGGTAGGATTCTTGTTGTTCAGTCCTTCTTTTTCAGTGAAGTGTTTAGTAATTTTTGTTTGTCCTTTCTTTCTTTTTCGTGTTTTTATCGGTCTCTTCGACAAATTTTTGTTGGTCTTTTTGGTATCTCCTGTCTCCAATTTACATATACCTATCCAAAAACTAATTTCATCTTTCACTTGATTATATGCACGGTAAAACTGTATTTCTTCATATATATTAAAAAAAAAAAACACCACATGCAGACCAAACAAAGACAATTGCACACTTTATACAAAAATTGCAGAATTCCCGAAAAAAAATAATACAAATTTTGACTTAAATTCCACCACAACAATGTGAAAAGTCATACAATGTATGTACAATGCAACAGTTTGAATTTTGAACTACATCTAGTTCATTTTTAGGTTTATTATTTTTTTCAATCGATTAGGAAAATCTTCATCAACAAACACGTGTTTAGATTATGGACTTAAACTAAATATGTATTTATATTTCTATAATTAAAAAATTACCCAGACTGAAGACTAAAACTTTATCTACATTCACAAGCTTTCTATCTGCATCCAAGAATCTTGTAGGTCTAAACGTTTCTGGTTCTTCAAAAATGTCAGGATCATACAGCACAGAATGCAAATTAGGTATAAGAATTGTGTCTTTTGGGATCACGTGACCCTTGTAATTGAAATCTTTAGTTAACCCATGTGGAACAGCAAGAGGGCCAATGCATCCGAATCTCAGAACTTCATGTAAAACGGCTTCCGTATAAGGTAGTTTTCCCCTATCTTCCATACATGGATATCTAGATGTTCCAATGACATCACTGATTTCTTGTCGCATTAAGTTTTGAACTTCCGGGTGATTTATTAACAAAACTATAAACCACTGCACAGCTGTTGATGTCGTTTCAGTTCCCGCTACAAACAAGTCGCCTATTGTTTTTAGAAGCTGCTCATCTGAAAGATATACAAATATCAATATGAATTCAAGATAATCAGTGCATTTTTTTCAGCACATTCTCCTCCAAAAAGGGAAACAAGGAACACATGAAAGAAAACGGGAGTAGAATTATAAGGGTATGCACAGAAATTTGTTTTCAATATATGTAACGTCGTGCATTATTGTACTTGAAAATCAATATTTCCTGTAACATTTGTTTTTAAATATATGGGTTGCTATAATCTCTCTTTAAAGTACACTAATTTAACCTTCATTGTTTTTTTATGAACCTATCGAATGCAAATTAGTAAATCAAATATTTGTTGTTGCAATTCAATTACAAATCATATTGCTAACTGCAGTTTAAAAACTGTAATATTGAGGAATATCGCAAAATAAAAAGAACACGCATTTTATCTTATGTTAGAAAAAAATCATACATATTCTGCTCACAAACTTACGATCAAACGTGGATTCTGGATTGCCTCTCTCTGATTTCATTCTTTTCAGGTAGATATCAACATAATCCCGTAGATGTTTTTCATCATATGTCTCCTCATGTTCCTTTATGACAAGCGTTAGATGTTTTTCCACGTCATCAGCATTACGAAGATTGCGTTTTAAGCCAAAAGGATCATAGGGAATATGTTTGAGAAATGGAAAAATGGTAGCCACAAACATTATATTGGTGTTGCTCAGGTTTTGATTAATTTTTTCCAAAAGCGACATGAAAAACTTGTCAGTGTGTTCATAACGTTGACCAAAGTTTATTGAACACATTATATTGGAAACACATAAGGTCAAAAGTCCTCTGATGAAGAACGGTGTTCCATTTTTGTCTCCAATGACCTTCATCAAGACTTCAACCTCTTCCATTATCTTTGATTCCAAACTCCTCTTACCAAACCCAAACTCGCGTAGTGCTCCTATTGTAAAGGTTCTGTGTTCTTTCCATCGGGAACCAGACGAACTTGCAATACCTAAAATAAAATGAATTTCACAATAAAGTATATTTGACAAAAAAATTATACGACAAGTAAATCTTAATTCATGATGGAAACACCATGTAAGTGCATTAGTATTCCGCATGTGTCAGTTTTATATGACCTTTTTTTTTTAATCTTTGAATGGGATAAACATTATCATTTCCTTTCTTATAACCATATATTTGCTGTCATTTCAACGGCTATCGATTTATCTTTAATACTGCTGTGGTTTATCAAACAAATATACTTCGATCACATCAAATTGAGTATGTTTGATTTTGAATGATCGCACGTATAAGTCTCCGTTTTTATAAAACATAGAATACTGAAAAACCAATTAATTTTCGGTAGCGATTTATTTTTGCTTCATTTGCTAATTGATAGAAAAATAAAACGATTAAAGATAGCCCGGAATAATTTCACTTGGATCTTCTGTTATATGAATACATGAACAAAAAAGAAAAAGAAAAAGAAAATCGCAAAAATAAATAGCTGCAAATTTAGCGGAAACTGAGGCCTTATAGCAAACAAAAAGGCTTCAGCGAAATGTAAAATTGAATTTTTTGCTAAAAGGTAAGTTACTTATATCTTTACACTTCGCCTGCATTCTGTCAAAATATCAATTGATTTTTTTTTGCAGGACATTTCAATGTAATAACTTGTTGTCAAAGTATATATTTTTAACCCCATTTTGCTCTCAGATTGAAGAAAGTTTAACAACAAAATTTAACGTAGCCATTTAATGTTTAAAAAATTTATCACCAATTTATACACTATGTACACATCGTCTAAAAATACAATTGACTTTACCCCTAATACCAGATCAGACTTTCTTGGTTAAAGGGGCACTAGCTGTCAAATTCATGTTCATCGATTTTACTCAAATTCTCATATTTGATTTATAACAATGTAAAACATTTATCCAAATTATAAAAAGTCTGAAATAAACAATATTCCGGGCATGGGCTCGATAATATGTAGCTTCATTTCGTGTGTATTTTAGTCTAGACGCCGTCTAATTAACTCTCGAGTTGACCCCCGAAGACCTCCGATTGCCATATAAGCGATATAAACATAAATAAAGATATAAATAGATAGCAGAATCGTGCATTTGGATTTTTCTAGGTCTGTTTAATTTCATATTATAGATTAAAAATATATGTTAATCATCGTTTTTACCTGTATAAGAATGATTTTTTGTGGATCGAATCAGTCAATCAAATGATTTACCTTTGTTTTACTTTCAATGTTGACATTCTTTTCCTTAAAATAATTGAACACGCACAATGCATGCGGTATCCATCTCTAGTCGAGGGATTAAATTGAAGTTCACATGAATACGGATTCATTGAGGTCGAATTATTCACTTGCAAGTGAATAATTCATCCTCAATGTTTCTTAGCTTATTTTGTTTGACAAAATTGAACCATACTGGCTGCTAAAAGCGATATATTATTTCACTATTTCACTTTCATTAATGAATGAACAAAAAAAATCGTATTTTATCATTTTTATATATCTCGTAGCTAGTGCCCCTTTAAATATAAAATAAAAAACTCGTCAAAGATGTTTCTGTTCAGTCATCCTTTTTGGATAACATTAACTGTACCAATTTTACTGCACCATATGCGCATTTCGACACATAATGATTCTTCAGTGACCCTTTGCGACCTGTTCCTTGATTTGATTGGCTAGAACAACAACTTTGAAATTAAAAACAAACAAATCGCTACTTAACCAGTAAACAATGGTTATAGATATTTGATAGTCCGCTAATCAAACAACCAAACTTAATTTTACTGTTTGTATGCAGACTAATAAAGATGCTTTTATATTATAAACTTTTATAAACTTTTAAACGCATTGTATATAGATCACGGTAAATGTGATATGAGGGTTCAACATAGGGTATGCATGCTGTTTTTGTTCAAAGCTTAAAAAAAGAAACAAAATAATTGTTTGTCTGATTTATTCAATTTATTCCTTTCAAAACTTTTAGTCTCGTGTGTACATGATTCAAATTATCCCAGAAACACGGAAATTATATCGATTTGGTCTTTTCACGTTTTGATTCGAGTGCCATGATACGAAACGCGCGTCTGGCACACCAAATTATAAGCTCCTGTCTTTGATTCCAACAAATAATAAATTTGTTAGTTCCAAGCAATCAGACTGCTCATTTCGACCATATAAACTGTTCATTGTATTGCTTTCCATCCACCTTAATCATTAGAGCAAAATGTTGCATTTGATTTTCATTCAATGAAGTCTTCAAATTTGAAATACAAATATAATTAACTCCCTAAAGGAGCACGTGTTCATTTATGCTACAACACAAAGGGGGTCAGTTGTGGTGGTAGTGTGACATTTCTGATGGTCTTTCTCCACAGAATGTAGAGACTAAGTCCACAAAAGAATAGAAACATTGTCGATAAGTAATCATTATCAAACAATCTAAGGATTTTTTGCTTCTTATGACGATACATAAACTGTTACTTTCTTATCACCGTATCTTTATTAAGTACCGTTCAAAAAGGACAAACATTATTTGGTATTTCTATATTGTGCTTTGTATACGGTTGTTTGTCTTTGTTTAAGTTGTTTTTCGTTTTTTGCCATGGCGTTTTCAGATTGTCATCGATTTATGAATCTCAATACCCCTTTGACATCTTCCGCTCTCTTTTAGCATTTAAATAATAAAACAGTCTTTGAAAAAAGAAACAAAACGCTGCCTTACAGTTGTTATTGACCGTATGGAATTGTTCTAAAACAGATTACATGCAGCATTCACATGACTATAATTTACCAAAAACCGCATAAATTGTAGATGATGTATAATGACAATGACCATGGCTACGTCTATACGTCGAGGAGCAGAGTTTATAATATTCATCACATTTACCAAGCTGCTTGAGACACGCTTAAAAATATACAAACATTTTTTCATTACAACCATAAAATGTCTCAGTTCTCAGTTCCCAAATCTAGGATCATCTAGTAGCTTTCGATAAGTCTACGGAGAATTGTTTCGAGGTGATAATTGCTGGATCTGTGGTATATTTTAAGCATGCGAGCAGGCTATCTTAACCTGTTGATGAAACATTTGATAAACAATGCAATTTGTGTTGTTGTTCATGTCTGAACTATGGCAGAAAATGGTTTGTTGAGCCTTTAAATTAAATATCGCATATTGTCTAGATAGATGACCCTCCAGGTGTTCTTTCAGAACAAAAAACGTGCCTAAATAGTGTTGCTTATGAGGCAAAGTAATCCGGTGATAAATAAAAAAGAAGGGGAGAACAAAATTGGAATAAATCCATGGTCACATGACTAAAAGTAATGTCGTGATAAATTATGGACCTTTGGTTGAAAAGTTTTTTGTTTGGTTCAACCCCCTATTGAGAAAATAATGAGGATAAATACAAGTTTTGAAAAAAAGCGAATTCTGAGAAATAAAATGTTAAAATGACGGAAAGTTCACAATAGTCAAATTAAAGTCTTTTTATGTTAACTTTCAACCGGTCAATACTTCTCGTATAGTTCGACAAGACGAGGTTCAAGCTCATGAAGGGATTCCATGTACTCACCTTTATAATGACCAATTTCCTTCGCAATAAACATATCAGGACGATCTGACGTCACATCTCCATTTTTTATGAACACTTCTTTGAGTGTTTCTAGTCCATTAACTACGACCATTGTTTTGGATCCTAATATTAAACTAAACACATCACCATACTTTAGTCTATATTCTCTGAAAGCTTCTGGTAAATTGTCTAACTTCACGTTTAAGTTTCCCAGAAATGGTGTTGTCGGTGGTCCCGGTGGCAGTGTGGCATTTCTGGTGGTCTTTCTCCACAGAATGTAGAGACCAAGTCCACAAACTAACAGAAACACTGTTGATAAGTCAATCATGATTGCTACACTAATTAAGGAATTGTGTGCTTCTACTACTAAGCTAGGACTTCCTTTTCATTGTCCTATATATTTAATACAGGCAAAAATGACGAAAAAAACATTTGTTATTACAAGCATCAAAATGACGAAATAGCTTTAAAGGCCGATTCAGTTGTTATTGACAGTATAACTTTGTTCTAAAAATAGATCCAATATATTTGTACTGTGTATTACCTGGACTATTTTAACTGTACAGTTTAGTGTATTATTCATGAAAATCATCTGAATTTTTTGCTTTTTCTACCACATGAGGAATTTTCCGTTTGTTGAAAAAGCAGAAAATGAATGCAGAATTCAAAAAATGGACAGATACTATTTGGATTTAAACTTAATTTTGACTAGTGTCAAGCTATCCAGCAATTCTCATCCTGCAATTCTCTTTATAAAAAGCTATCCTGCAATTCGTCGTCCTGCAATTGCGTTTGGAAAACTACTTGAGCGACAATTTCATTTTTCTTTAAAATCATAGTTTTTGACTTTTTTGTTCGAAAACAAGATTAATATAGAAAATAAAAGATTTGTATATCCGATTAACAAAATTTTAACTTTAGTTTGCACATTTCTAACTCATATTTACGGTTTTGTCAAAAGCATTTTCAATAAAAAAATCATTATGACATTCAAATAAAGTATTATCTGTTAAGTCCAGGATGTGATTCGTATTTACGCATGTTAAATCAACATTTGCAATTTTTTCAAAACTCATATTAACGATAAAAAAAATAAAGAATTTTGAAGTAAAATAATTTTTTCATGGCATACCGACTTAAATTCTATTTGAAACTGGGCCAACCACCTTCCAACCTATTGCCTCGGCAGTTCTGTATGGCTAGGGATTATAGACGCTGCCCTAATGAATAGCTATTGGGTAGTACTACAACGTGAGGATAAAGAATTTCTGGGGTAAGCATTCTGAAAGGCCGAAAATTTCGTCCGTAACACGGAAAAAAGTAAAATTTGATAAAATACGCATTGGGCACTTTCCAACCTATTGCCTCGGCAGTTCTGTATGACTAGGGATTATAGACTCTGCTCTAATAAATAGCTATTGGATAGTACTACAGCGGGAGGGTAAAGAATTTCTGGGGTAAGCATTCTTAAAGGCCGAAAATTTCGCTCGAAACATAGAAATAAAGCCAAATTCGATAAAATACGCGTTGGGGACACCCACTTTCCGACCCATTGTCTCGGTTGTTTTTTATGGCTAGGGATTATAGACGCTGCCCTAATGAATAGCTATTGGATAGTACTACAACGTGAGGATAAAGAATTTCTAGGGTAAGCATTCTGAAAGGCCGAACATTTCGTCCGAAACACGGAAAAAAGTCAAATTTGATAAAATACGCATTTGGCACTTTCCAACCTATTGCCTCGGCAGTTCTGTATGGCTAGGGATTATAGACTCTGCTCTAATAAATAGCTATTGGATAGTACTACAGCGGGAGGGTAAAGAATTTCTGGGGTAAGCATTCTTAAAGGCCGAAAATTTCGCTCGAAACATAGAAATAAAGCCAAATTCGATAAAATACGCGTTGGGGACACCCACTTTCCGACCCATTGTCTCGGTTGTTCTTTATGGCTAGGGATTATAGACGCTGCCCTAATGAATAGCTATTGGATAGTACTACAACGTGAGGATAAAGAATTTCTGGGGTAAGCATTCTGAAAGGCCGAAAATTTCGTCCGTAACACGGAAAAAAGTAAAATTTGATAAAATACGCATTGGGCACTTTCCAACCTATTGCCTCAGCAGTTCTGTATGGCTAGGGATTATAGACTCTGCTCTAATAAATAGCTATTGGATAGTACTACAGCGGGAGGGTAAAGAATTTCTGGAGTAAGCATTCTTAAAGGCCGAAAATTTCGCTCGAAACATAGAAATAAAGCCAAATTCGATAAAATACGCGTTGGGGACACCCACTTTCCGACCCATTGTCTCGGTTGTTCTTTATGGCTAGGGATTATAGACGCTGCCCTAATGAATAGCTATTGGATAGTACTACAACGTGAGGATAACGAATTTCTGGGGTAAGCATTCTGACAGGCCGAAAATTTCGTCCGTAACACGGAAAAAAGTCAAATTTGATAAAATACGCATTGGGCACTTTCCAACCTATTGCCTCGGCAGTTCTGTATGGCTAGGGATTATAGACTCTGCTCTAATAAATAGCTATTGGATAGTACTACAGCGGGAGGGTAAAGAATTTCTGGGGTAAGCATTCTTAAAGGCCGAAAATTTCGCTCGAAACATAAAAATAAAGCCAAATTTGATAAAATACGCGTTGGGGACACCCACTTTCCGACCCATTGTCTCGGTTGTTCTTTATGGCTAGGGATTATAGACGCTGCCCTAATGAATAGCTATTGGATAGTACTACAACGTGAGGATAAAGAATTTCTGGGGTAAGCATTCTGAAAGGCCGAAAATTTCGTCCGTAACACGGAAAAAAGTAAAATTTGATAAAATACGCATTGGGCACTTTCCAACCTATTGCCTCAGCAGTTCTGTATGGCTAGGGATTATAGACTCTGCTCTAATAAATAGCTATTGGATAGTACTACAGCGGGAGGGTAAAGAATTTCTGGGGTAAGCATTCTTAAAGGCCGAAAATTTCGCTCGAAACATAGAAATAAAGCCAAATTCGATAAAATACGCGTTGGGGACACCCACTTTCCGACCCATTGTCTCGGTTGTTCTTTATGGCTAGGGATTATAGACGCTGCCCTAATGAATAGCTATTGGATAGTACTACAACGTGAGGATAAAGAATTTCTGGGGTAAGCATTCTGAAAGGCCGAAAATTTCGTCGGTAACACGGAAAAAAGTAAAATTTGATAAAATACGCATTGGGCACTTTCCAACCTATTGCCTCAGCAGTTCTGTATGGCTAGGGATTATAGACTCTGCTCTAATAAATAGCTATTGGATAGTACTACAGCGGGAGGGTAAAGAATTTCTGGGGTAAGCATTCTTAAAGGCCGAAAATTTCGCTCGAAACATAGAAATAAAGCCAAATTCGATAAAATACGCGTTGGGGACACCCACTTTCCGACCCATTGTCTCGGTTGTTCTTTATGGCTAGGGATTATAGACGCTGCCCTAATGAATAGCTATTGGATAGTACTACAACGTGAGGATAAAGAATTTCTGGGGTAAGCATTCTGAAAGGCCGAAAATTTCGTCCGTAACACGGAAAAAAGTAAAATTTGATAAAATACGCATTGGGCACTTTCCAACCTATTGCCTCAGCAGTTCTGTATGGCTAGGGATTATAGACTCTGCTCTAATAAATAGCTATTGGATAGTACTACAGCGGGAGGGTAAAGAATTTCTGGGGTAAGCATTCTTAAAGGCCGAAAATTTCGCTCGAAACATAGAAATAAAGCCAAATTCGATAAAATACGCGTTGGGGACACCCACTTTCCGACCCATTGTCTCGGTTGTTCTTTATGGCTAGGGATTATAGACGCTACCCTAATGAATAGCTATTGGATAGTACTACAACGTGAGGATAAAGAATTTCTGGGGTAAGCATTCTGAAAGGCCGAAAATTTCGTCCGTAACACGGAAAAAAGTAAAATTTGATAAAATACGCATTGGGCACTTTCCAACCTATTGCCTCAGCAGTTCTGTATGGCTAGGGATTATAGACTCTGCTCTAATAAATAGCTATTGGATAGTACTACAGCGGGAGGGTAAAGAATTTCTGGGGTAAGCATTCTTAAAGGCCGAAAATTTCGCTCGAAACATAGAAATAAAGCCAAATTCGATAAAATACGCGTTGGGGACACCCACTTTCCGACCCATTGTCTCGGTTGTTCTTTATGGCTAGGGATTATAGACGCTGCCCTAATGAATAGTTATTGGATAGTACTACAACGTGAGGATAAAGAATTTCTGGGGTAAGCATTCTGAAAGGCCGAAAATTTCGTCCGTAACACGGAAAAAAGTAAAATTTGATAAAATACGCATTGGGCACTTTCCAACCTATTGCCTCAGCAGTTCTGTATGGCTAGGGATTATAGACTCTGCTCTAATAAATAGCTATTGGATAGTACTACAGCGGGAGGGTAAAGAATTTCTGGGGTAAGCATTCTTAAAGGCCGAAAATTTCGCTCGAAACATAGAAATAAAGCCAAATTCGATAAAATACGCGTTGGGGACACCCACTTTCCGACCCATTGTCACGGTTGTTCTTTATGGCTAGGGATTATAGACGCTGCCCTAATGAATAGCTATTGGATAGTACTACAACGTGAGGATAAAGAATTTCTGGGGTAAGCATTCTGAAAGGCCGAAAATTTCGTCCGTAACACGGAAAAAAGTAAAATTTGATAAAATACGCATTGGGCACTTCCAACCTATTGCCTCAGCAGTTCTGTATGGCTAGGGATTATAGACTCTGCTCTAATAAATAGCTATTGGATAGTACTACAGCGGGAGGGTAAGGAATTTCTGAAGTAAGCATTCTTAAAGGCCGAAAATTTCGCTCGAAACATAGAAATAAAGCCAAATTCGATAAAATACGCGTTGGGGACACCCACTTTCCGACCCATTGTCTCGGTTGTTCTTTATGGCTAGGGATTATAGACGCTGCCCTAATGAATAGCTATTGGATAGTACTACAACGTGAGGATAAAGAATTTCTGGGGTAAGCATTCTGAAAGGCCGAAAATTTCGTCCGTAACACGGAAAAAAGTAAAATTTGATAAAATACGCATTGGGCACTTTCCAACCTATTGCCTCAGCAGTTCTGTATGGCTAGGGATTATAGACTCTGCTCTAATAAATAGCTATTGGATAGTACTACAGCGGGAGGGTAAAGAATTTCTGGGGTAAGCATTCTTAAAGGCCGAAAATTTCGCTCGAAACATAGAAATAAAGCCAAATTCGATAAAATACGCGTTGGGGACACCCACTTTCCGACCCATTGTCTCGGTTGTTCTTTATGGCTAGGGATTATAGACGCTGCCCTAATGAATAGCTATTGGATAGAACTACAACGTGAGGATAAAGAATTTCTGGGGTAAGCATTCTGAAAGGCCGAAAATTTCGTCCGTAACACGGAAAAAAGTAAAATTTGATAAAATACGCATTGGGCACTTTCC